GAGAGAAAATATTCAGAAAATCCCGAGTAACCTGATTCTCAATAGGACTAGTAAGACCCAAACTGAAATTATGGAAACTCTCGAATTGCTTAGCAAGTTTCTGAGCTTTTTCCAAATTTGTGATCAAAATTTTACCACCTTCTTTAAGCGCTGGAATTGGCTTTTGAGGTTTTTTCAAAAATTTTGTGAGTTTCCAAAAGGGTTTGGAACTCGGGTCTAATTTAGAAATATTATTTTCAAAAGTTTTGTTCCTCAGGGCAGAGAATCGCTTTTTAATTTGTTTTTGCAAATCCCGCCAGATAACTTTCATGGCAGGATCGCGTGTTCTTTGAAATTGTCTCCTACGGACATTTTTAAGACGGATCAAGAGCTGAAGATCATCGTCTATTATAATTGAATCGAATTTAACCTCGCATTTTGGTACTGAGGCAGCTCTTGCTTCAACTATAGAAGTAGTCAGAGATTCAAGAGCATAATTAATTTCATCTTTGGTTTGCAAAGGAATGTTTGGATCGAAGTTATATTCCATAAATGTTCGATATTGCTCCCAATCAGCCCAATGGTAATTGAAAGTAAATCTGTTGGGATTAGAAATTATTTCTTGGGATATTTCAAAAATTACTGGAAGGTGATCAGAACCGAAGTCAGCATGGGTAACCAATTGGCTACAAAGATGACATGAATCAGTTAAGACCAAATCAATAGTTGAGGGATTTCTTGCAGAAGAAAAGCATGTTGGGCTGTTTGGATATTGAATAGTGTAATAACCTGCAGAACAATCATCAAACAGAATATTACCATTGGCCGACGCCGGTGGAGTAGTGGTAAGCGTGACTGCTTTCTAACACCCCAATGGGTCTGGGATCAATCCCAGCCGAGGTCGGTGGGATTTTTCTGAGGCATAAATATCTCTGGTCACGTCTTCCTTCGGAAGGGAAGTAAAGCCGTTGGTCCCGGCCCATGTGTGTTGTGAATGGGTGCGATATCCTACGCAGGTGTTGAAGCTGCCTTCCTTGCACATTCGGTTGCCGTCAATGGATGGCAATCGATGTCCGTCGGTGATTGGCACTAGATTGCGGAACAGAGACCGACGTTAAATAAAGGAAAAAAAATATTACCATTGGAATTGCTTTGAGCATTATTCCATGAGCGGTGTTTTGCATTAAAATCACCAATAATGAAGAATTTAGACCTATGACGGGTAAGTTTCTGGAGGTCACCCTTGAGAAAATTCTTTTTCTGGCCTACGCATTTGAATGGCAAATAGGCAGCTATAAACGTAAGTTGTCCAAATTTTGTTTCAACAGAAACTTCCAAAGTTTCAAAAACTTTGGTTTCAAATGAAGAAAGAATTTTTTGTTTGATTCGTCTATGAATAATGATGGCAACGCCACCACAGGGTCCATCAAGACGATCATTTCTATAAATCAAGTAATTTGCGTCCTTCTTAACCTTATGGTCAGGTTTAAGGAACGTTTTAGTTATAACGGCAATATGCACGTTATGAACTCTCAAAAAATTAAATAGCTCGTCTTCATTATCTTTAAGAGATCGAGCATTCCAATTTAAAATGTTTAATGCTTTAAAATCTATTACTGAATTTTAAAGTCATGACAATATTATTTGCAAATTTTACTCCAGTTTGAATAGCATCAAACATGGAGTTAGATTTAAGCATATCAGAAATCATGTCAATTAATGAATTCTGTAAAAATTCCATTTTAGGAGCAGTAATGCTTCCTAAGTCAAAATTGTCAAAATTTCCGTTAGAACGTTGGTTAGTATTTTGATTTCTACCCGCTGCAATAGCAGCATAGGTAGCTCCGTTAACTCGTTGAACATTGTTAGCAGCGAGGGGAGTAGGTACAGATGAAACATTTGAAGCAGGGGTGATATTTGTACCTACGGGTACGAATGTAGAATTTGTTCCTCGCTGACCGTTGTTAACAGCAGAGGAATTCGGTTAGAACGAGATTGTAGGATCGCTTTGCGAGTCTTACATTCCCAAAAATTGGATTTGTGGTTTTCACCACAATTTGAACATTTAAATTTCTTAGGATCTTCCTTCACAGGACAGTCGTCCTTTGCGTGAGAGGAATCACCACAATTCATGCATTTAGCTGGCATGTAGCAATTTTTAGTTCCGTGACCCCATCCCTGGCACTTACGGCACTGAGTGAGGTTTTGGAAATTTCCTCCAGTCTTCCTGAAGTGTTCCCACTTCACTCGGACATGGAGCATAAGGCTAGCTTTTTCTAAGACCTTAAGGTTGTTTAGTTCACTAGACTTGAAGTGAACTAAATAAAAATCATCAGAAATCCCGTTGCGCGAATCGCCAGGACGGGATTTCATTTTCATTTTGATTACTTGGAGTGGCACAACTCCAAGTAATTTTGCCAGTTCATCTTTGATCTGATCCAGGGATTCACCACTGGGCAGTCCTTTCATGACAACCTTGAACACACGTTCAGTTTTGTTGTCGTAAGTAAAAAAATTGTGCTTCTTCTCAGTAAGATACTTGAGAAGACATTTAAATCCGTCCAAGGTTTCAGCCAATACACGGCATTCACCCCGACGTCCAATTTGTAGTGAAAACTTAACTTTCACGAAATTCAAAAGTTCCATGTGAAGAGCATGGAAATCGGTAGTGGTTATCACAATAGGGGGAATCTTTTCCTTCTTGGCATTAAGCCGGGAAAGTTTACTAGAATTTTTCTTGGATGATGGATCATTCTCATCATCCGTGAGCAAATCAAATTGATTACTCAAATTAATTTCTTCAGAAGGGGGGTCAAGAGTTTGCCCCTTTCTTTTGCGTTTAGGCGCCATGGCGGCAGTAAATTTTTTATCCAAATCGACTTCCAAGCAGATTACTATAAGAATCTGAAGGATCGAAGGTGAATTTTCCAAATCGATATCCAAGAAGGATTACCTCGGGTAGGGTCCAAACAAGGATCGAAGAGGAATAAGAGGAGTTGAACAAGGTAGAAAATTTTTTACAGGTTGAGCACTGAAAAGTGCTGTTTAAATTTGTTGTAGCTTTAGGTAGTAGTAACACTTCCTTAAGCAAAAAGCAAATAGATCCGCACGGCAAGAGAGCACGATGCGGACTGATCTCTAACGGATTGTTTTATATGGATAGCTGTCATAATGGCTTTTTAATAATTATTGTAGCACTGCAAAAACTATTTCTGTTCGCCACGAGGGTGATGGTGGAATTTTAATATTTGATTTAATAGTAGATTTAAAAAAAAGTAGTCTACAAAAGTTTGAGCCTCGCGCGCGTATTACGGATATAGAGGACTGAATTTAACATTTGATAAAAAAAAAATGCAATTTTGAAGCTTATTTGAAAGATACCGTGAGTTACTAGTAGGTTTTTTGGCAAATGTTAGGGGTTCGTGAGCATTCCTGACATTGCTGAAAATTATGATAGCATCAGATTTCGGGATTGCTAGTGTAATAGGATGCTTTGTTGATTGTTCATTAATTCTTGATTGCTTGTAATACTTATGAATATTTTAAGTGGACAAAAAGGCGAACTAAAAGGTGGACGCCTGAGCTTTTCTACATTTATATCGCTGTGAAGCAACTGTAAACTCTAGAGGGAATTTATATCTGTAACTGGAACCAGTTCGATTTTGTTTGCCAACCTGGTTAAAATGTAATATTTAATTATCTTAAAGATAAATCGTCCAGCTCAAACCTTTGTAGGGGTAAGAGGTGGGATCATCATCATCATCATAATCATCATCATCATCATCATCATAAAATATATCCGCACGGCAAGAGAGCACGATACGGACTGATCTTGCTGTTTTAAACGCCACATCCTGCCACGGCCTGATCTCAGTGGATGTTGGAATACTCCGGAATGGTTCTGGATTTCGTGTGGACCACTATCTGTTGTTACATTTCCTCCCTTTTACGGTCGTTTAGAGGTTTTTAAGGAAATTTGAATTTGAGGTGATGGCAGCAATTTGATTTTTTGAAGTCGAAGTCAAGTACGCCCACAATACGAACAGCTAACAGCTAAATTCAATGAAATCCTTATCTGACCAACACTCTTAGCTACAATTCAATTTGTTGTTGTTCCTTGCAAGAAGAAACGAAGTTCCATCGAGTTGATTGAATTCAATTCAATAAAAATGCCTTTCGAGTGGCTTTGCCCCTTTTGAATCGCACAACTCAATAAATCGAGCAACCGCAATAAAGTTAACTTTTTTTGGTAAAGTTAAATTTTCCAAGAGCCGCACAACAAACAAACGGCAGCGTGACCAACGAAACTGCTTCGACGCTACTGCACAGGATGGGTTACGGAATTCATTTGAATTTTTATGGCTCTCACTTCACCCTTTGTTAGACAGTTTTTATTGAACGGGTTAGCGAACGATCCGACCGAGAACCGTCAACTTCGAATCGGCGTTGTCGTTGTTCCGTCATGGGAATGATAAACGCAAACCTTTCTCGACTGAAGATAACGATTAACGATTTCGTCGAGATTTATGACTAATAACATTATTTCGTAGCGTTCCGGTTTAAGGCTCTTTGCGGTTAATCATCGACGCAATATCGCTGAAATTGATGGTCGCCTTAGTCGCAAATTGCATCAGGGGGTTTTCATGCAGTTTGATGAAAAATTTTAGTGAAAAATAATTATATTCGGACTGACCGATTAACTTGAATTAATTGTCATTAGGATAGCAATGATATTACTCAAATGCGAACAGTAGATTTGAAATTAAAACCACTAGACGCAAACCGTAAATTCAATTTATTTTATTTCCCAGGAGAAGATCTACAAAATTATCTATTGCCTTTGCTAGAATGGGATTTTGTTACGTATCGCAGTCAAAGACAGACATTTAAATTAATTTTTTGGTCGGTTCCAACCTCATGCAATATCCTCAAGGTCAACAGTTTGATGGCTGCGCTGAACATTAATCTTCTTATCTCGTAACAAGTATAATTTTCAATCAATATTTCAATTTCCGTTTCAGGTACATGAACTTTATGTTTGATCTGGAAGATGCCTCTAACGATGGAAGCATCGACGCGGAGGAGTTTTCGATTGTTTGCTCAAGTTATGGACCGGACAAAAATGAATGTCAGGAGGCCTTCCGGAAGATGTCTCAGGTAAGAAGCTTTTGGTACAATCATAAGGAAAATATCAATTCTATGGAATCGTTCAATTTGTAGTTTTTCATGAATTTTAATGATCGGCGATTGGTATGCAATCGTGATGTGAAACAGCAGGATTGTTTTCCAAATCAACAAAAAAAAAACAGAGTAAAATGTAGTTAAGAGTCATCAAAAACCATTCGAATGGCCAGGATCCAATTCCTATTTTGTCCCATTTATTCATGAACCATTTTGTTTCATTTATATTCTCCTGAATGAAACCGCTGCACTAAGCTTTAATCGGTTCAAATGTCGTTTGAAATTCGGCCATCGATCGGCACAATCCAACCGGCTTTTGGAAAGAAAACAAATATACTCTACGTAGTTGGGTGGTTGCCCGCCTATCAGCAAACGTATTCCATTCGGTTCCATGTTCCTGCTCACGATAAATATTTATTGAATTTTCATTAAAATAACTCGGTCCCATCGTGCCCCAATACTGGAGAGGCTTAGCACCGTTTAGTGCACGGGTATAAATTGCAAAACGCGGGTGTTCTCTCTAACCTGGATTGCACGAGCAGCAACGCAACTGTCCAAATGTTCCAATGTCCGGTTTTGTGCCGTGTGGTGGCACTGCGCTGCTGGCTGCTGCGTCCCAATTGGCTCCTGGCCAAAAATCTGGCACGTTGTTTTATTCCTTGCGACCACATTGAGAGCTGCAGTAAAAGCAATCCTAGCAGACTCATTGAAATGGACACCCACCGCAGCTGTCCAGGGAATCGAGTGTTTTGTAGGCAGTGGCATCTGTAGGGGAGGCAATAAGTTCAAAGTGCTCCCGTGGGGTAAAGTGACGTTATAGTAGCCACGTCCCGATAAGCGAAAAAGTTCGCGATAGACTGATTCTAATCCGTCGATTATACAAATCGTGCACTACCAAGCGGTTATGCATGTGCTGTTAGACTTTCCATTAGTGATCATCTTTTAAACCACTGCTCAGCACATCCCTCATTGCTTTGAATTATATGCATGATTTTAAAATTATTTCATGATGATCGCATAAAAATGTGCAAATTTTAATATATTTATGAGGGGACACCTGTTGAGATCTCTAAAAAAGAGTATTTTTTTACTTAAACTAATCATGTTTGTATTACTTAATACGTGAAGTTAACCATTAAAATCACCAATAATGAAGAATTTAGACTTATGACGGATACGTTTCTGAAGGTCACCTCGAGAAATTTCTTTTGCTGGCCTACGCATTGGTAGCTATACACGTAAGTTGTTTAAATTTAGTTTTGACAGAAACTCACAAAGTTTCAAAAACTTTGATCTCAAATGAAGAAATAATTGTATGTTTCATTCGTCTATGAACAACGATGGCAACGCCACCACAGGCTCGATCAAGACGATAATTTCGACAAATGAAATAATTTGCATCCCTTTTAACCGTATGGTCAGGTTGATGGAACTTTTCAGTTATAACGGCGATATGCATGTTATGAACTCTAAAAAAGTTAAATAGCTCGACTTTATTATTCTTAAGGGATCGAGCATTCCACTTCGAAATATATAATGATTAAAATCCATTACTATGTTTCGAAGTCATTGCTATATTGTTCGCAAAATTAACTCCAGTTTGAATAGCATCAAACATAGAGTTAGATTTCAGCATATCAGCAATCATGTAAAAATTCCATTTTAGGAGCATTAATGCTTCCTAAGTCTAAATTATCAAAATTTTCGTTCGAATTATGTTGAATAGTATTTTAATTTTCTCCAGCTGCAGTAGCAGTATAGGTAGCTCTATTTACTACAAAACACAATGTTAGCAGCGAGGGGAGTAGGTTTAGATGAAAAATTTGATGCAGGGGTGATATTTGTACCTATGGGTACGAATGTAGAATTTGTTCCTCAATGTTCACAGCAGAGGATCGCTTTGCGAATCTTACATTTCTAAAAAGTGGATTTTTGTTTCGTGACCCCATCCCTGGCACTTACGGCACTGGGTGAGCTTTTTGAAATTTCCTCCAGTCTTCCTGAAGTGTTCCCACTTTACTCGGACTTTTAGCATAAGGCTAGCTTTTTCTAAAGCCTTAGGTTGTTTAGTTCACTAGAATTGAAGTCTCATCCTTGGAAATCCCGTTGCATGAATCGCCAGGATGGGATTTCATTTTCATTTTTATTACTTGGACAGGCTCAACTCCAATTAATTTATCTTTGATCTTATCCAGGGATTCACTGCTGGGCAGACCTTTAAAAATAACCTTTTTTTCCTTGATTTGTTTTCTGTGCTGAGCACCAATGCTACCGACGCCAGGGAGGCAGCTCCCACCTATCGACCCATCATCTTATGAACCAGGGACCAACGGCTTAACTAGTTGTAAGCGTGATTACCTCTCACCCCAGCAGGCTTGGGTTTAATTCCAGTCGGCGCCTTCGGGATGTTCTGAGGCATAACATCCCTGATCACGCCTTTCTTCGGGGGAAGTAAAGCCGTTGGTCCTCGGCTCATGAGTTGATGGGTTGATAGGTAGGGTCTTGGTTTGGGAGCTGCCTCCTTGACGTCAGTAGCATTGGTGCAGCGCACAGTGGCACAAATCTGAATAAAGACGGTCAAAAATATTTTCTACCCTTTTTCGACGTTTTAGAGACTGCGTGTCTTTGAAGAAGTTGCTCAAAATGATATACCGCATCTTTTTAAATACACACCTGAATAATATTTAAGCTAGTATTACACATCCATTGCTGTTGCATTGCATTGCTGTCGTCAGGGCTCTACCGTTGTATTGCGCTACCTTGAAATTTCATTGCTTTCCAGTGATTTTTGCAGTGCCGTCTTGTTCCTGCAAAATGAGTGTAATTTGTCATGCTTGCGCCAATGACATCCATGAAAAAACCATTGCCTGTCGTGGGTTCTGTAATGCGATATTTCACCCAAAATTCTGTCACTTGCCAAGTGAACTGTTGGATGAAGTTGGCCGGAACAGGCAATTATTCTGGATGTGTAAATTTTGTGCGAGTATAATTTAGACATTCGGCATAGTAGGAATATAAAGGTTGCATATGATGCTGGTCTAGAGAAACAGCTAAGTACTCATACGGAGTTGCTGGGGAAATTAAATCAAGAGATTCTGGAGGACTTGAAAATTGAAATTCGGTCCAATTTCACGAAGTTGACCAATACTGCTTCCATCACTCCAGTTTCCTCCAGACGGTCTGGTTTTATGTCAAGAACCATAGGAAGCCGGCGGTTATTTCCAAGAAAGGCCAATAATGTACCAAACCTAATGCGTGCTACTGGTGAATCTGTATCTCCAAGCCTAGGGCACTTCACTGTGCCTGCCCCGGTGGAAAAGTTTTGGATTTACCTATCTCGGATTTCTCGTGATGTTACTCCTGAGGAAATTGGTGAGCTGGCCAAAAATCGTTTGTCAACCGACGATGTTGAAGTTATCCGACTGGTTTCAAAGAACAAAGACGTCAGGACCATGTCTTTCATTTCTTTCAAAGTCGGTATCTCAGCAGATTTGACGTCGAAAGCACTCGTCCTCTACATGGCAGCCTCAAGGATTGTTACAAATAAACATACCGCAAACAACTCCAAAGTCCGCCAATTCCAGTCATCAATCATCTATGACGGAGTGATATTGCCGGGTCAGGAACTTGAACCTCAACACCGCATTTTTATCAACCGATTACCGGGACGCTCACATGCCACTAGCATTTTGGAAGCCCCTGATCCCCTCATCACAGTCGAGCCTCTCCCGCCATCGACCTGCAGTCGTCCCGGTCATATGTTTGAGTCCGGAAACGGGGTCTTCCAAAATCCAACCGCAGGCAAGTATGATCGCTTTCTGAATAATTCCGTCCCTGAAACGAACGCCTGCCATATGTGTTATGGAAGCTCATCCATCACAGTCGAGTTATTTCTGCCAGCGACCTCCAGCCGTCCTTGTCCTGTGTTTGGATTTGATGAAGGGGTCTTCCAAAACCCTATCTCAGGCAGGCAAGTACGACATTATTTCGAACAATCCACTTCCTGAAATGTATTATGCCTACAGCCGATCATTTCCGATAAAAGCACAACCTGCTTTATTCAACTCGACACTCGGACGCACACTTGCAACTTGCCTTGTGGAAGCCCCTGATCCTATCATAGCAGTCGAGCCTATGCAGCCAGCGTTCAACAGTCGTCCCAGCCCTGCGTTTGAGTTAGGATAGGGGGTTTTCCAAACTCCAACTGTAGGCAAGTATAATCAGCAAGCAACAACTGCTCTGTCTGAAAAATTCTTGGTTTCCAGAGTTCTATTGTATATGTCTGCTCCTCGACAATTGTGGTCTGAAGATAACATTAACAGTAGCCCCACCATACAAGAAGCCGAGACGCTCCACAGAAAATTCACCGGAAGAAGCATCCAGATCCTCTGATCTAGTCCTGCCGAAGAATGACGACTTACACCATTATGATGAATCAACTTCTGTTTGTTTACTGGGACGCACTGCCGTTGGCATTATGAAAGCCCCCGAGCCCCCCGCCACAGTCGAGCCATTCCCGCCAGCGACCTGCAGCCGTCCCGGCCCTGTGTGCGGGCCTGGTGAAGGGGTCTTCCAACCACTCGTTTACGGCAAGTATGAACTCGTTCATGTGAATTCAACTGTTGATCCGCCACTTGGTTTCAGTTCATCTTCGCTTATGGCCACCACTTCGAGCCTTTCTACGCCAGGTGATCTTTCGCTGCCTGATAGTTCACCGTTCTCTCGTTCGGATCCTGGACAAGTTACCATTGACACGGCTTGCACCGAACCCTCTAGCGGTTTACGAGTCTACTATCAGAACACCAGGGGGCTCATGACTAAATTGGACGATGTTTATCTGGCTGCGCTTGACGGGGAATATGACGTTTATGTATTCACGGAAACTTGGCTCGATGGGAGGATCAATTCAGTGCAACTGTTTGGTGACTCTTTTACTGTCTACAGATTAGACCGTAATTCATCCAACAGCATTCGTA